GCACAGACACCAGAGTAAGAAAAGAAAACTTCTGCACACTGACAGGCAGAAAGTGTGCCTGGCGGTCCCATAGCAACACCCTCTCACAAGACCGTGGATCAAATTGGCTCTACCTTCCACCACTCCCTAGTTACCCTGATGAGCTGTCTTTATAATAAGAAATATAACATGGTATTTAGCTATGCAGGCCCCTAAGTCAGCCTGCCTAGGTTCAAATCTAAGGCTCTCTGCTTCCCAGATACGTTTTTGGGGAAGCAACTTAACCTCTCTTAGTGTCACTTCCTACATCTGTAAAATGAACATAAAAGCAATTTCCATCCCCATGAGTATTAAAAGAGAAATGCAAGTTGAGTTTTCAGCAAATTCTTTTGTTATTAGCCTTACCTAAAACTTCTTTCTAGGTGAGAGGCTTGTCCAGGCCTCAGGAATGTTGGCATTCCCTTTCCTTAGAAACTCCAGCCTATAAGATGGTGCAGAAATAAACCCAGGAAAACTGGAGACCAAGCTGGCTTCACCCAGACTTACATGCCAGTTGCTAGAACAGTCCCTGGTGTAAGCAGAAATGGTCACTGAATGAAGGAAAGTACTTACAGCTCCCATCAAATGTACCCACGAGGTGCCATCTTTAAAGAAACCCAGCTTCAGAGCCAGAAGTCACCAGTGTTGCCCATCGGACACAGGCCAGAGTTTGCAGCAGGACTCTCCGATGGCCAGGTGCCTGGGAGTGCGGAAGCAGATACGGAACGGGTGACAAAGAAGCCAACCCCAGATAGGAATCCTTTCGAAAATCCAATCTGTGGCCCTGCTCATTGGTGATTCCCAGCTCTGGTTTGTGGCACTTGCCTCAGGCAACGTTCACAAGAGGCTTTTAGGCTACTCCTCAGTTTCTTTGCAAAGGGCTTTAATTGAAAACACATTTCTATACCACAAAAAGCAACCCAGACAGGGCTGCGGCTCCCCAGAGACTAGAAGTCATTTTCCTAAGGCCATTAAGTTGCAGGTAAAATGAATGAGTGTGGATGAGTCACAATGTCTGTCCCTGGGTCATGTAGATGTGTCTTCCGCATCTAGATCTTTGTGATTCTGTCACTTGGGTGTGAAGAACTGGACTAACCAGCAGAATCTCAAAGAGAAATAATGAAAACAATAATCCCAGCACTTTGGGAGGCCCAGGCGGGCAGATCTTCTGAGGTCAGGAGTTCAAGACCAGCCTGGTCAACATGGTGAAACCCCATCTGTACTAAAAATACAAAAATTGGCCGGGTGTGGTGGCACACGCCTGTAGTCCCAGCTACTCAGGAGGCTGAGGCAGGAGAATCGTTAGAAACTGGAAGGAGATTACAGTGAGCCGAGATTATGCCACTGCACTCCATACACTCTCCAGCCTTGGCGACAGCATGAGACTCCGTCTCAGAAAAAAAAAAAAAAAAAAAGAGAAATAATGAAAACAAATAGAAGACTGGCCTTTGGCTTTTATATTAATAATAAACCCTATGACATACTAGTCTAGCAACTTTGCATCTTAGCCGTCATACAAATCTGTCCAGATGAACACCAACATCATCACTCGTTAGCTGAAGAAACAAAGACTCAGAGAGATAAAGGAATTACCCAAGGACACACAGCAAGAGTCAGATGTGGGATCCTCCAAGCTCAGATTCACTCCACTGCTCCAAGCTACTTACTTTCTCGAAAATCCTGCATCCAGATGCAGGGCTCTCTGACCCTACATGAATCCATGTCATCAGGAAAAAAAATGAACGTTTTTATATCTGAAATGAAAAGCCATCCACTGAAAAAATTGCTTTCCACATGGGCCTGTCCAAGACCACCACCAACAGTGGAATGACTGCCCATTCTGAAAAGTTCTGTGCTAAGACTCCGCAGTTGGCAAATGATTCTGTAGTGAGCTGAATGGTGGCCCCCCCAAAAATACATGCCCATATGCAAATCCTATTAAAACTTGTATTGCTTTATATAGCAAAATATGTGATTAACTTAAAGATCTAAAGAGAAGGGATATTTATCCAGGATTATCTAGGTAGGCCCAAAATACAAAACAGGTATCCTTGTAAGAGAGAGGCAGAGGGAGTCTGGGGACAGACAAGAGGAGAAAGCGATGTGAAGATGGAAGCAGAGATTGGAGTGATGTGGCTTCAATCCACAGAATGCCAAGGATTACAGGCAGCCACTGGAAGCTGAAACAGACACGGAACAGATGAGCCTCCAGAGCCTTGGAGGAAGCTCGGCCCTGCCATCACTTTGATTTCAGACTTCTGGTTTGCAAGGCTGTGCGAGAGCAAATTTCTGTTGTTTTAAACCACCACATTTGTGGTGATTCATTACAGCCACCACAGGAAACGTACGCCCTACTAATATGCAAACATCTTTGGCAAAGCCCCGTAAGAAGCCGAAAGTGATGTGGCTCGGCGAGTGACAGTTACCGTTTTCCAGACGTTGTTTCAGAGTCTCTTAGTAATGAAAAACCCGCAGATCCGCTCTTACAGATGAAATTAGAGGATGCTCAGTTTGAAAAGAAACTCTTGAGGTAGGAAGAAAATCAGAGAGAGGAAGCGCTGAAGGGCAAAGACTTGGCTGGGCATTTGGGAGACCAGAGCTCGGGCTGCTGAGAACACAGGCCTGGGGGAAAGGAAGTTGTCTTGGGTGGAAGGATCCTCCAAGTATCAACCAGGTGTTGTTAAGGCAGGCAAGCGTGTGACTCGGTGACCTCTATTTTGATTTTTGGAGAGATCGGCACTCCGCTGGCTGACAGCAGAGGGACTGACCCCCCTGCCCTTTTTTCTGGCCTTTGTAACAAGGGCAGTGAGTTACATCCCAGCATGGCCAAAAGGATTAAGAAGGTCAGCACCACCCTGAAAGTTGTGAGAACACAAAATTTGGAAGCCTCACGGAAAGTTTCCATTTTGCTGCCTCCCACAATACGGGTGTTGAGTTGGCCAATCTCATTCCTTCTTTCCTTCAAAAAATGTATATTGAGCACCCCACTGTGTGCCCGGCACTAAACCAAGACCCTAGCATACAGCAGGGACACGAGTCACAATCCTGTCATCCTGGAGGGCTCTCTAGAGAAATGGTTTTCAACTGGGGGTGATTTTGCCTCCCAGGGGACATCTGGCGATATCTGGAGATGTTTCTGACTGTCACGACTGGTGGGAGGGCAAGGGCTGACAGGTTATCTAGTGGGTGAAGGCCAGGGGTGTTAACATCCAACAATGCAGAGGTCAGGCCCCCACAGCTAACAATTATCTGGCCCAAAATGTCATGAGTTCTGAGGTTGAGAAACACGGTGAGGCTGGAGTGACCTAAGCAGACGACAGCCACTTTCACGATGATAGTTAGTGAGTCAAAGGAGACCAGAAGACAGAGGCCTGAAAGACCACACAGGAGGGAGACGGGCAACCCTCGAGGGCTCTGGACCATCTCCCCCAACAAAGGGATGTCTTCGCCAAGACCTGAAGCATGAGGGGTTGTTTTCCAGGCAGGAAGAGCAAAAACGCTTTTAGGTAAGCTTAACTCTGTAGTACAGCTAGAGAGGAAAGAGAGTGAGTGAGTGTGTGAGGCAGGGAAGGTGGGGCAATCAAGAAAATCCTCTGAAAGGACTGTTCCCTCACTTGTGTTTTGGAGGGGAAGGGCCGTCTGTATTATGTGAGGCGGCAGAATTTCGTGTTATGAGCAGGAGCCCGGAGTCAGATCTGAATTTAAATCCCAGCGCCACCACCTCCTGTGTGGCCTTAGACAAGGCACCTAAAACCCTCAGTTCCTAAATCCATTTTCAGAAAATGAAGCAGAGGGTGGCAGGGGAGAAGAATGTCTACCTTAGGTGGTAGTGTTCGGATTAAATGAGAAAATGCACATAAACGGCTTGGCACACTGCCACGAATAACAGATACTGTTCTTATTTGTGTTTTCAAAGGTCACTCGGCCCAGTGTGCAAAATAAAATGAGGAAGGACAACCAGAAACACTCCTCCCTGGGAATACAAAGCAAAGCAAAAACAAAATGCTGAGATTTTACAGAACAAAAACTTGCTTGAGCAAAGCAGTTTCCGAGGGGCTTTTAAGTCCTTGATGCTACACTGTGCTCACCTTAAGTAACCACAACGGCAACACGAACAGTTCCATGCCCATTGAAATCATCATCCTTTGAAGGTATAGATGTCCTAGATAAATGGAACAATGTGTCCATCCATCCAGCTAGTCAGCAAGGGAAATGAAATCCAGGGGAAACCGTAGGAAGATCTGTATCGTGGCCTCTGCTCAGTGATGGTGATGAACTTGTGCTCTTACCAGGGTACAGCCAAAACACTTGGATCCCACACACAGCAAGGCGCTTCCACACATACCTTTCAGTGCATCACCTTAATCCAATTTTCTAAAAAGCTGCTTACTCAATAATGGCTCATTGCTAGAAAAGGGCAGTTTGACACCCTTGCATCTCTCCCTGCACGCAACTCTTGGAGGTTAGGATGCTGTCACATCCATGATCCTTCACTGCTAAGGAGGTGGTTTCTTAAGTGCGCTCTTGGTGGACTAAGTCTCATTCACCAGAATCAAATTCTTTCTGCTTGATACTGTGAGAGGATGAGTAGGATATGTCAGAGAAACTGGTTTATAGCCCCCCAAAAAGTGACATTTACTCTGTAACTGTGCTTTGCTTTCAGCAATAAACTACTGGGGATGGCACAGTGAAATAGTACAGGAGAAGACACATGCCAAGGATCCCGTTTGATACTGACCATCTTCATTGCAAATGACACATTACGCAAACCAGATACACAAGGTGCACCAAATGGGCCACGAGGATGGAGGGGAGGGGAGCAACCCCTCACAAGAGTCCAAGACCACATTCTGGTACCTAAGTCATCACCTACACACTAACTGTATGGTCAAGTTCCAACTTGGGAATATGTTTTTCTTGCTTACGGTAGGTCCAGTTTCCCTAGAGATAAAAATCCAAATCACAGAAACAAGTGACCAGCCTTTATCTGCACAGACTAAGTTGCTTTTATTAATCCAGAACGGCATGCTACAGATACTGTACAGCATGAACATTTATTCATTACAAAAATGGCTTCCAAACCATTAAAAATGAACTTGGAATAAGAGCATAAAACGGAACAGTAACATCACAACTGTTAGGAAACATTCAAAGTATTCACAAAAAATGTTATAGTTAGCATTTTAATAAACCAGAGAAAAATCGGAGACAGGTTTACAATCGCTTCATGTCAACTACAATGGCACTGAATGAACAGGTTTCAGCTTTATACAGCAGTCTGCAACATCAACATGCCTAGATTTTTTTTAGTTTTAAAGTCTGCTGCCTACTCGTATGTAATATGTGTACATAAAAGCGGCAGCCGGTTTTTCGTGTAAGAGTAATCTAATATACAGAATTTTGGCCCTTAAGGGTTTATACCTCTTCATTTAAAATGCTTTCTGGACAATCTGCTACCAAACACATTTTGTTATAGGTGACATTAAAACTACATACAAATCTACCTATGTAACATCACAGCAAAACATGATGAACAAAAATTACAGCATCAAAAAGAGGGAGAAAGCTAAATTCACTGAGAATTTTGGCACGTAAAGTTCTGCACACGGTCAGTCCAGGCCCTAAGGGCGCAGGGTAGGGCATCCCACTGGGAGTTCAAAGGGGAAAAAGATGGTTCCCACTGCTGCTCAGACAGTGTCGCTAAAATTCCCTCACTCATTTTCAAGTCTTGTTTTACATAATGGCTTTTAAAGCAACTTTTGTTAATGCTACTGATCCTTAATGCAACTATTAATGTCCATTTGGTGACAACTGGGTTTCATACAGCAAAAAAAAAAAAAAAAAAAAAAAAAAAGTCAAAAAGGGAAACAAAAATATATATACACATTTTATATATAAACTTAAAAACCTTGTACAAATGAGTTGTTATATATAAGATGCTTATGCTAAGGGGGAAAAAAAACTTTATACAGTTTCAAGAAAAAGGAAAACATATTTAAAAAGGGACGACATACAGGTACGACAAGCAATCTCTAAAGCAATAAATACTACTGGCCCAACAGCATTGTGATTCTATTAAGTGTTGAGTAGCATCCCCTCCCCCCAAAAGAACACCACCATGGAACAAGGTATATTAACACATTTTTACCCTTTGTTTCTGTACATTTAAACAATAACAAGTAACATCACAATAAAAGTTGTTTCACACAGAAAAAAAAACAAAAAAGTAATGGCACTGCATTCGTGGTGCCCTTACGGTTTAAAAACCAGATGTAAAATGATTGGTTCGCAAGCTCGTATTTAATACAAATAATACAGAACCAACTCCTTCTGGAGGGCTGCTTCAAAATTGCTTCTTTTTTTTTCTTTTTGTTTTTTAATCAGTCTTTTAAAACTAAGCTATCCGAACTACATAACAGTTATGTATATATATATATTTTTTAAACGCTACAAAGACTTTAAACAGCTGTTGATAAAAATTTTGGTAGAATCATGAGGTTCTTCTCTCATCTACATATTTAAAAGGAGAAATTGAAATAAGAATGGGTCAAATATTGACCAATGAACTCGATAAACATCAACTAATGTAGCCACGTGGCACAAAATTAAGAGAGTACAAAACAAAACCTTTCAAGGTGGGGGGGAGGGGGGCCAAATAAAGAAAAGTGAAACAAAACCATAAACAAAGCAACTGGGGTTCACGACGCTAAAGCTATTCTAAAGACTTGGTGACGAGCGACAGCGGCTGGGGCTGGGTCCCGGCCAGGGAGCTGTGGGAATGTAAGGAAGAAGTCGACGGCTGTGCAACTGATGAGGAGGGGGCGGCAGGCTGCAAAGCGGTTGGGGGCAGGTCCAGGGCCCCATTGGGACAGAGGGCGGAGGCCTTGTGGGTGGCCTCGGCGAGCAGGAGGGCGGGCGGCGGAGGCATCATGGACAGGTGGGCCAGGGGGTCGGGCTTCAGGGACAGCGACAGAGGCTGGGTCTGTTCAGTCTGTGACTTGGCGTCTCGGGGAGGGGAGCCTAGCAGGTTGGGGGAGGGGGGAGGCGAATCTAGTAAGCTTCCATCTGAAGAGGGTGGGCTGAGGCAGCTGCCTTCACCTTGTATGTAGCGAACGCACTTTTTTTTTCTCCTAGAAACAGGGGAGAGAGTTATCTGTGAATAGAGGGCACAGATGCCAAGGGAGAGAGTTACCTAATGCTCACACCCAAGCTGAGGTCACCTAAGGGATGTCCCACAGAGGTGGCATGCCCAATGGTCTGAGGACAATTACGGTGGCGCCCCCCCGGGGCTGGGTCGCTCACTTCACGGTGCCCAGATCTAAGCCTGTTCTGGTAAACCACATATTTAAAGAGTCTGAACTCTCTACCTGCTTCCCCCAACCCCTACTAAACACCCACGGCCCCACCCTGCCCAAATGTACGAGAGCAGCATGGAGGTGGCCACCTGCAGACAGTGGCATCTATTTGCCAGCAAGTGGCTTTGTCCAAATTGACATGAACTGAAAAGCTCTTTTGGCTTAGACAGTCCCTCACTTTCCCATCAAGTTTCCTCGGCCCTTCACCCCCATTCCCACCACTACCACCCCCATCCCCCAGTGATGTCTGTGTGTGAGTGTGTGTGTGTTTAAAAGAGAAAGACAGAGCTCCTTCCCCAGCCGCCTCGTATCAATATGAAACTCTCAAAATGCTCACTGTTGAGCCCACATAGCTGAAGGCAGCGCTAGCAAGAGGCTTAAAGGTTTTAACACACCACCACCATGAGGCTGCTGGCGCCCAGAGAGCTTTCGGGCTTGTCTGTTAAGAACCACACCAAATCAAGAGAGGTCAGAATCAGGTGAGAAGGGAGGAAGGGAAACAAAAATAAAACAAAATAAACTTTAAAAAAAAAACAAACCAAAAAAAACCAAAAAACAAACAAAAAAAAGAAATCACCAAAAACAGGTAGAAGAGGATAAACAAAGGTGGGGGAAGGGGAAGAATAAGAAAAACAGAAAATGATTCAAAGGAACAAGAATAACTGGTTGTATGGCCTGCAGGTTGTGGATTAAATTAAGATTCAAACTTGATTTTTTTTACTTTTTTTTTGTTTTTAAGATTTGGGGCTTTCCCCTCCCCCACCCCGTAGTGAGAAGGTTGGAAGGAGAGATGGTGAGGATGGGATGGATGGAGGGGCATCCTGCCCTTGTCAATATGCCGAGGCCAGTCAATGGAGGGTGCAGCACAAGCCGGTCACCAAAGTGACAACAAAGAAGAAGTGCCAGGGAATCGCAGCATGGACCTTCCTCGGTTTGGGTTATCGTGCGTGTTTAAACCAGAAAGGCTAATTTTGCCCTACACCAAAACCAGCATCTCCCCTCTTCACTACTCATTCATGTAAGAAATAGGAATGAGAATTTCAGAACCTTTCTTGCTTAGCATCAAAGGATGAGGTCGGGGAAAATCAACTCAAGAAATTGAGCATGTGACTTCAAAGCTTCTCCTCCCATTAATCCCAGTCTGATGGGATGGTATTTGGTAAGCAAAGGTGAGCCTGGGGATCAACCCCACTAATGCTATAAAAATAATGCAGATACAGGAAGTGTGCTCATCTAAGGACCCTAGAATATTGTCAGAACCATGGCTGATAACACTCCAACCAGAAACACGTGTGTAAGCGCTGGCCAGCTTTCTGCTGCTGGAAGCAACCAAGATGCTGCCTGCTTGAAGGCAACCACTGTCAGACAATGTCACTGGCCTTGGAAAGGAAGGGTGTGCTGAGTTCCTCCTCTCGGTCTGTGCCCCAGAGCTGTCTGATCCTGCCCCTGTGTGCATGGGGTTTGGACTCAGCAAGATGGCAGGAAGGCAGGGAAGGAGGGGAGGGGTTTAAGGGAGCATGCTCAGTCCTCCCTGCCTCCCAGAGGCTGAGATTCATGGGGGCTAGTGGCCTCAGGTGTCTGTCTGTTCCCTCTGGGTCAGAAGGAACTCTAGGGGAGCAAGCACCACCCCCTGTCACCCTCAATTTGGCAAGGTTCCTTTTTCTCCCTGGGAGAGAGTAAATAGACTATGGGTTCTGCTTCCATCCCAGAAACCAAGATAAATAATTAAGCCTCTCAGAGTTTTAAACCACCTTAGCCTGCAGATCAAAACATGCTCAAAAAACTAAGATGTCCATGCATTTTAAAAATGGGAGAAGGAAAGGAGGTGGGGGGGGCGCATAAGCAAAACTGAGAAAGCAACAGAGAAAAACAGAGAGAGGAAAGGAAAGGGAGAAGGAAAGAAGTGGGGAGAACAATCCAGGAAGACAAGGGAACGGCACCAAGCAGCATTCCATGCTATATTAGGGCAGAGTGAAAAGATGGGAAAAGCAACTTGGTGGGCTCAAAACAGCATCTTGTTAAAATGTCCACAAATGTCAAATAAAACTAGAAACCTTGTGTGGCAAGCTAGGAGCCCTGATTGGCTAGGAGCGTTCTGGTACTTTCCTCACCCCTCCCACCCTCATGACGTGGAAGTTTCCAGATCACAGGAATGAGAGGGGCATCTGCAACACGGGACATGAAGACTATGGCGACAGAGCGATGGGTCTTCTAAGGTGGCTGAGCACAGGGCAGCTGGCACGCACACACACTTCTGACAAGTCAGAAAATGCCTCAGTTGGCAACTTTTTTTCTTTTTTTTCCCTTTTTTTTTTTTTAAAGTACATTTTGTCCTTGGGTTTCAGCATCAAGCCAGGGGTGGCCACAGCCACGTTAAAAGGAAAAGTTGAGCAAAAGGGGGAAGGTAATCCATACTCTTAGCACCCCCAACCTAGGCTTCATCTCGATTCAGAGTGGCCTCTTAAAAACGCCTTTCTAGCTTCTTATTTCTTCTGGAAGGAAACTCAAGGTTTTTCCTGATCCTGTTTTGGAATAACGTCCCTCAAAGACAGCAGAAATGCATTTGCTCATCATTCCATGGTATGGAAAAGTCACCAACGAAGACAAACGTCTGCCGGGAAAGTCTGAACACTGCTGAGACTGGAAAGAAAACCAGGTGGAGACGGGGACCTGGGGAACTCTGGCACCTAGGACCAGGAGCTCAGCATCTGCCATACTGACAGCCCCTCCAAGATGCGTTTTAGAAAACCATGCTGCTCAAACAGGAAGCAGCTACAAACGTTTTGGGTTGGCAGATTTTTTTTTTTTTTAATATATCAATAAAATTCTGGGCTCTGAAGATACACCCAGGCTGTAAGCAAGGTGTAAGTTATGTCCAGATGGGGGACGTGCGTTTGGGTCAATGTTAGGAATAACTTCAAGAAACAAAAAGTTTGACTTGCAGCAACTGCTTCCAAAACAAAAAAAAAAGGATTCATCAACCACCACTCACCCCATTAATAAACAAACCAGGTACCTGAACTGGCCTTATTGTGAGGCACACACAATAGTGTCAGTTGTATATTTCTACACATCATGAGAAACCCTCTCTTTTAGTGACCCTTGTGGTTCACCAGTCATTTGGCCATGGCAGGGCATCTCAGAACAGGCTTCCACGGCTAGTTATCTTCCCACCTGGTACAAGTAAAATGTTGACAAATTCACTGCTCAACAGAGTCCCTGCCCTCCCTGGCTAGTCCTCATTAAATACCTAACCTCCTCCATCAACTTTGTCACAAAACTCCTTTCTGCTGTGCAGAGAAGACCCCAGGACTGTGTCAAAGGGACATTTGTCAGCTCTGTGAACACTCCCATCTCACAGAATGCCTGGGGATTCCTCTCCTATGGGCAGAGGGCTGTCTGTGTGGCTCCCTCTCAGGGAAGACGTTCAGGCCCTTTCTCCTCTAATGTGCTGGGGTCAACATGAGGCACTTCACCGATCTCTCGCATTGGCATCAGAAAAGGGGGGAAGAGACACAGGAGACTCGTGGGCATGCACGTAATGGGATGCACATCTGATCTAACGTCTAAACACGGAGCACATGGCAAAGTCATGAAGGGGAGGGACACGTGACGAGGGAGGCACTACAAACAGGGAAGCGTGTTTGGGGTGTTGAAATACCTACCATCATAATATTCCAAATTCAAAGACTGCTTGTATCAGAACAAAGAAACAACAAATTTAACCAAAGGTGGTCATTAAAGGAAAGGAAATGAGACAGGAGCTAGTCGGTATCCCTCCACCAAGAAGGAAGTACCTACACTTTCCCTGAGAATGCAGGCTGGATGGAGACCTGCAGGTGGAACATGGGTGCTTAATTTGGACACTTCTGGGCTATTCTGATTCGTTTTGGAACCAGTGCTATATATATACACGTATTCTGTTAATTCTGCAGGCCTAGGGACGCTGCAGTCTCAGACCGCATGACTCACTGCTTGCAGCCCTTTAGCTGGTGCATGCCGTTCAATGCCACGCTTCTTTTTCAGCACTGTAAAACAATGTCAGCTAACCAAGCTCCTCTGTACAGACATGTGGTTTTTTAAACATAAAACAACCAAAAAGGAAAAAGAAAAAGGGAAAGAAGAAGCCTACCCCAGAACCCTTCTCCATATGTCTCGACTCTTAAGTGCACGGGAATGCAATTGCTGCCAAGTGTTAACTCATTCAAACCTTTGGAAAGGGTGGCTCTCTGTGCTCAGTACCCGGGCCACCGAGGCATTCATAGGGCCGGGCCAGCTCCAGGATGCTGGCTTTCAAAGCAAAAAGATAAGTGCCCCTCCTTGTTTGTTAAGGCTGTGGTCTCAGTCCTGCCACCAGGGATGTTACTGACGAGAGCAGCGGGGAAAGAGAGAAAGAGAAAGTGGGGAGAGGAAACGGCATAAAATTAGCAAGGAAATTTTGAAGAATGAGGATCATTAGTCATTGATGCCAGAGGGGAGGTAGATGGGAACGAGGTCAAAATAAATTATCACGCTAAGGTACCGGAAGGACAGAATGCTTTGATTTTCCCAAAGGCCTCGCAGTGGTAATATACCTGCACGGTTTGCACCATAAAGTCTGTCGGTCAAGCCCGAACAGTGCCCGACACTTCTTTGGAGTATTTGCATCTGTTAGCATAAGGTAAACACAAAAAATACAACACAATGGTGGGTCGTGCTCAGTTGGATGTGAAATCTCAGCTACCGCTTCCTTTTCTTCTCTATCACCTTGGTTCTACTTGATAATCTTCCCTCACCAAGGACATGAAAGGAAAGGACTTCTATGAGTCAAAAGAAAAAAAATAAAATAAAACAATAAAACACACACACACAAAACAACAACCAGAAACCAAAAAACAACAATGAAAAAAATAAATAAATAAATAAAAAGAGAGAGAGAAGAGGAGGGGAGAAGGTGACGTCATTTGCTTCTACCTAGGCCAGGATTCCGATCCTGGGCTGTCACAAGGAAGGGACAGGGGTTGGCAGGTAACATTGCCTGGGAGGGGGCGCACTAAGGTTTGTTGTCGCTGACCCGAGGAGGCATGAGTGATGCTGTTTTACAGTGGCATTTTGGCTGGCAGCAGCAGGAGAACAAGCACATCCCTCATAGAGCCCATACACTTGGCAGTGTCCCACTCCCCTGTGTCTCCTGAGATCCACACACAGAGCTACAAAGCAACAGGCCAGAGAAGGGGGAGAGGATCGAATAGACCAGCTGCAAACCAGCACAGCGAATCTGGAAAACTATACACACCTGCAAGGGCCGCACCAGTTATTCTGTTGATCAAGGCCAAAGCGCGCTCGGCATTTCTTAGGAGCGCTCAGGTCTGAATGAGTTCAAGAGAGAAGCGAGCAGAGGAGGAGAACGTGGGAGAAAGGGAGAGAGAGAGAGAAAGAGAGAGAGAGAGAGAGAGGGAGGGAGGGGGGGAAGAGAAAGATACAAATAAGAAAAAAATAAAAATAAAAAAGGGAATAAATCAATGACCTGGTTACTAATTGCAAAATATTGACTTTAGTTTTTTAACTTTCTTTAATTAAAAAAAAAAAAGGTAAAAATCACATTCTTATTCAACTTTTGAAATTAGCTGTTGCAAATAAAGCTGCAGTATCCCTTCTTTAAGGACTGTCTCTCAGATTTGGTTCGAGCTGACAAAGGGAAGTTAGACACGGAAGAACTCTTTTAAATATTTTTCCTCTTTTAGTTCTGCTTTCCCTTTTTTTCTCTCAATTTTTTTTCTTAAAGAAGAAAATAAAGCGAAGGAGGGAATTAAGTTTGTAACATGCTTTTTTCTTCTCAGAATACAATAGTTTAAAAAAAGAAAAAAATTACAAATAAAAACAGAACAAAATGAAACAAAATAGAAAGAAATAAAGAAAGAAAAGGGTTGTGGTACTGGGATATTGCAGCTTTTGGAATGTTCGTCTTTTCTTTTAAAATCTATTTTCATTAATTATTAAGAGAGGAACAGATAAAGGTAAACAGGCTGTGTGAATGAGCTGTTAGGAGTTAGTTAGAAGCTCATAGCGGCATTTAAGCAGGCACAGTCAGTAAAACGCTAGTGGATTTGCAAATTATGAGCAGAAAAGCAAAAGGAAGAAAAAAACTAAAATAAAAAAAAGCAAAGGAAAAAATAATCATACTGCGGATGCATGCTTGCGTGAGAAAACTTAGTGGGAGCAATGAAAAAAATGCCATTAGATTAAGGAGGTTTATTACTGAATTCCTTCCATTTTTTTTTAACCAGTCTCTTTTAAAGAAATACTGCATATTCAATTTGCACAGTTAGTTCAACTCTAAATCACTGTCATCACTGCTTAAACAACTGTTATGGGAAAAAATAAATAAAGAAACAAAACAAAGGTTAAATTAAATTAAATTAAAAAAAAAAAAAAAAAAACAGAAGCAACTGAAAAAAAAAATCTACCGAAACATACGAAACCGTGTTGATGGTCACTTTATAGAATGTTCAAATGTCATACGTGTTTAAATGTTAATAAAACTATAATGGCAAGAAAAATTAAAAAACAGTTTATCAACTATTTTAATGACTCAAAATGACATTAGCACCTGTAATCGGAGGAAGTGAAAGGCAAGGATTTAGGAAACATTCGCTGTGTTCTGAAAAAAAAGAACAAATTATACAAAGCCTTCAAAATTTTTGTTTTGTTTGTTTGTAAAAGCCTGGCCTTCTCCAAGGGACCTCTGAGATTGCCTATGCAGTATTTCTAATTTCTTCTAGAGAATGACAAACCTCCTTAATTTAAAATGGGTGTAATTTACCACTGTAAAGGCATGCATCAGAACATTCAGGAACAGCCCAGTTAATATCAAACACTCACACACACCCCCTCCTACTCCCCTAAGCCCCGCCCCCTCCTCATTCCTTCTCAGGCACATACAAAATAAGCAGACTGTATAAATCCCGGCATAGGCATGCCTACCGCTTGCTCTCCAGTTATAGGCTTTGCAGTTATTTTAAAACACATTCCACTAGAATTACAATGTGCTTTTCATGCAACAATGGATGTTACTAGCTTTAAAAGGGCAGTCATGAAGCAATTAATTAAAATGCATAAACAAAAAGGCTGGCTAAGAAGGGTTCCCCCACAATGTCCTGGCCTTGAATTTCTCCTGCCTCCCCCAGATGGAAACCTAACATAAAAGGGTGGTCCTCAGGCTACAGCTTCTTCCTCTAACCTGATGATTGTCACTTACCATTGGTCTCTCCCGGCTGCTTGTCCCTTTTCCTCTTCTTCTTCTTTCCCTAGATGAACAGACAAAACACAGGGAATTATTGCAAGAAACAGACGTGAGAAGAGTGTCTGGCGCACCTGGAAGGAGAAGGCAGGAGGAAGTGACCATACTGCCATCTCCATCCACATCAACTCCCGGTATTTGTCCAACCTCCAACCCCGCTTCAAGCCAAATGCCCTTGCATTGTACCCCAGCTGGAGGGACACGCCCTTCTTGGGAGAAGAGAAGGGATTGGCGGGTGGTGAAGGGAAGCTCTCATTTCTCATATACCTATGTCCATTGTCAAACCTGACCCACAGCATTGGATCCATAAAAGGGAAGAGGGGACTGCACGAGGAAGATTCGGAGAGGAGTGGGATGACGACATTGCAAGCAGTCTGAGAGTCCATCTTTGAGGAGCACATGAAGGTGGTCATGGCTGCACCAGCTTCAAGGGCTGCCCTGCCTGACCTGCTCACAGCTCTTACTTATGAATGCCAAAGGGTCCCATTCTCAATGAAGAGAATGAAAGCTTCAGCAGGGGCTTCTGTTAGAGCTGGTTTTTAAAGATGTGGGGAAAAAGGGTAAAATAGGACCAGGAATCGTATGGGCTCCTTTCACAACTGCTGAGTGGGCTGGGAGCAGTGGCTGATGCCTATAAGCCTGGCACTTTGAGAGGCCAAGGTGGGAGGATCACCTGAGGTCAGGAGTTCAAGACCAGTCTGGCCAACATGGTGAACCCCCCGCCTCTACTAAAAATACAAAATTAGCCGGGCATGGTGGTGCATGCCTGTAGCCCCAGCTACTCGGGAGGCTGAGGCAGGAGAATCGCCTGAACCCGGAAGGCGCAGGTTGCAGTGAGCCAAGATCATGCTACTGCACACCAGCCTGGGTGACAAGAGTGAAACTCTGTTTAAAAACAAACAAACAAGAAAACAAACCAAACAAACAAAAACCTGCTGAGTGGACATCTGTAAGAAAGACGTTCCCTCAATTCTCTTCTAGCTGACATAATGAGGATACGATTCCTCCCGAGAATGGGTACATGTATTGAGCCTATGCCAGGTGCCAGGCATGATTCTAGGTGTGCTACGCAGATGGACTCATTTTAATCCTCACAACGATCCTCTTCAACAGGTATTACCGCCATTCCAGTCTCACAGAGGAGAACACTGAGGAGTTAGGTAACTTTGCCAGGGTCACACGTCTAGCAAGTGGTGGGGCCAGGAGAGAACTCAGGTAGTCTTGGCTCCAAAGCCCTCAACCACAAAGCTCTGCTGCCTGCATGTTTAATGCCTACCCTCCAAGGAAGCTCTTTCAGTGAGGGGTTTAGGGGATGAACTGCATAGAGTCTTTCATATTCTCCAACCTGATCCTTCTTGGTATCCTGACCGTCTGCTCGAGGTTGCAAATGTGGAATGGGACTGGGGGGAATTCAGGAGAGGGTGACTGCCTCATTCCGGATTGAACTAGTTCTCCCTCCCCTCATAGTCCTGCCCAGATGAAGTAGCTGCCTGGCATACATGGAAATGAAATGGTCTTACATTTCTATATGTTTCAGAACAGCTAAAAGTTGCCTTCGCCTAAAGCTTCTCACAATATGTTGATGTCAGCTCAGAAGAGAAAAAGACAATGACAGGTAGAAAGAAACTTGAGGTCTGGACGCAGTGGCTCACACCTGTAATCCCAGCACTTTGGGAGGCCAAGGCGGGCGGATCACAAGGTAAAGAGATCGAGACCATCCTGGCCAACATGGTGAAACCCCGTCTCTACTAAAAATACAAAAAATTTGCTGGGCATGGTGGCACGTGCCTGTAGTCCCAGCTACTCGGGAGGCTAAGGCAGGAGAATGGCGTGAACCTGGGAGGCGGAGCTTGCAGTGAGCTGAGATTGTGCTATTGCACTCCAGCCTGGCGACAGAACAAGACTCCATCTCAGAAAAAAGGGAAGGAAGGGAGGGAGGGAGGGAGGGAGGAAGGGAGGAAGGGAGGAAGGAAGGAACTCGAGAACACATTAGGCTCTGTCAGGAGAACCTCAAGCTCGGTGATGCCACCAAGCTTAGGCTCCACCCTAGGGCTGAGGGCCATCTGTTGTAGAAATGGCCTGTCTCTTCTATGAGGTCAAGGGGCCTGTGCCACTTGGGAGCTTTGTTTTGGCCTTCTGTTCAGGGCTCTTATTGAAACGTGCTATGTCCCTTCACGTACAATTTCTTTTAAAAGGACTTCACGTGCTTTATCATGAAGCTGGCATCTCACGGGCCTGCAACAGACCATCTCCATGCCCGCGCCTCTCCCACGTGAGGGGCAAAGTGCCACCTGGCTGTCCTGGAACAGGCAGATGGGCCTAGTTTCGGTTCATGTAGGAGCCTGAAGTATTCATAAAAACCGGGCACAGAAATGTGTTAACTTCATGGAGTATCAGCATCCCCATAGACAAGGGCTTCTCAGCCACGTGTGAAAAAGCATCTCCATTTCCAGTTCCTTGCAATATACTGTGGAGGCATCTGGAAATTCCTCTACCCACAAGGAAGCTGTCCCTTTAGGATATAGCATAGAGATGGTGACTACTGAAGAAGTTCTCATTTAGACCAGAGACTTCCGGAGGACAGGGACTGTGTTTTAATAAAAAGAAGACATGAGAAAGTGGATAAACCCTAAGCTTAGTGAAGAGGAAGATGCGTCTCCAGGGAGGTGGCCACCCTACTACCCCCTTAAATGTAACAGAAGAAAGAAAGGGCCTAATATAGGGGTGGAAGAAAAGAAACTCAGGTGAGCAAATGGCATGGGACCTCTATCCTTTACCTAGTGTAGAGGGTTAGAAAGGAAACAATGTCAAATATAACCCCAGGGGTTAGATACTACTGTGGGACTCAAGATTTTTTTTTCTCTTGGTCTCTAGAGAATGTGCCAAGTCTGACAACCCAAATGTGGCTGTTTTCACTCAATTCTGTTTTCCTAAGGTAGAGACATAAAGTCTTCCGTTAGCAGTTGGCTGGAAAAGCAGGAATGTGAAAGAGGCACGAGGCGAGCTCAGGAAATATTTTCCAGAAGAACCTTTTGGAGTTTACAATGACCAAAGTAATTTATGGAAACTCCCATGTCAAGTTAGTTTAAAAAAAAAAAAATACTAGTAAGTTGCTACCGCATTCAAACCCATAAAAGCTTCAATGCTGCGGTTCTTAGTCCCAGTGCTCCCTAGTGCATAAAAGGAAGGAGTGAGTGTGAGTGTGTGTGTTCACACCCATGTGTAATGAGTCATTGTAATAGGAATCTAAGTACCTCTTACAAGAGATAAAGTTCCTAGAGCCCTAAATCCAGATCTCTAAACCTCAAATCGTCTCAGGAGTTCCCTTATTATACCAAACCCTCTTCCAAATTTAAAACTGAGCTAAAGCCATTTTGAGTGCCTCACAGCCCTTCTGAAACCCAGAAAGTATGTCACAAAAAGCCTCGAGCAATACTTTCTCTAAACGACTCTGAGGCAAGTCAAACACGGTATTCTTTTGAAGTTATCACAGTCTGCCTTGTACCTTTGTAGAGATTTCACCCTGCACAACTCCAGGGGGCACCATTCACATAGACCCCAGTGTAAATGACATACTCTAGAGTTGTGCAGTGCACGCCCTGCACAGCTGTACATGAAGGCCCTACTATGACCCAAAATGTCTATCGGGGATATGATCTCTACAGAGAAGCTGAATTCCGCTCTGTGGTATCATTCTAGATTACTCAAAGAATTGGGTCTGTAGCAGGTAGAAGCTCAAGATGAACTCTAAGAACTTCTGACCTGAAAACAGGAGAGCAGCTTTCCTGAAATGATATGGTTGTGTACGTGGAGGCTATGGAGCCTGCCTGCTGCTGGAAATCTCCACCTCAGGGTCAGGTGGGGGTGAACAGCAAGCCTGTGGGAGAGCATTCACTTTCTCATCCTCTTCCTTTCAGCTCCAGAAGAAAGGCTTCCCCACTGCACACATGCTGGGGACAAACAGAAAGGTCCCAAGCAGTGGAGACCCCGTGCAAGCCCATCTGTCAGCGACAAGGGCTCTCTCAGTAGAACACACGCGCCATCCAAGAGGTGCCAGCACTCCTTCCTGATTCAATTCCCAGGAGGAGCACAGTCTAGCGCTGCCAGTTAGGGGGGCAGGGCCTCGAGAAAGATGGCCAGGGGCACCTCCCTTCTCCCTCGTCTGCACTGCAAGCACGGGTTTAAAAGTATGAGAAGAAAGAGGAAGGAGGCCTGAAATCACTCATCAGAGCAGGCAGAAGCAGCTCCTCCTCAGGATCACATAGGCCCGCAGATGTTTGCGATCTCCTGGCGGATGCTAAGTTCTGAGGGAGTAAAGATGTCCGACTTAACTCTGAATCCCTGTAATAACTTGTGCACAGTAAGTGCACACTCAGTTCAGTAATAATTTAATGACCTCAACCCCCAAACGTAGAGCTGCTTCACCGCGGATGATGCCAGTGGGAGAGTCAAAAGTAACTGGAAAAGTAACCATCCACGATTCTAAGACATTGACAGGAAGGGGATGAGAAGCCTGTGCCGGCCTTAAGACAAGTTTTGGTTTTCCCCCCAAGAGTGGACAGAAGTCTCTGGAAGACAGTGTGCTCATGGGAGGAGAGGAATCGTGGGGTCACAACCACTGCAATTAGTAAAAACAATCATACCATGGTGTTTCCTACAACCCAAGAGAGGACTAGGCAGATCCTGTAGCCAACACAGAGCCCAGGATCACACACACCACATAGTACACTTTTCCCTGCCCCTGCTGGGCCCAGAGTCAGTCCATGCAGCCTGCCAAAGGCTGACTTCCTCTGGCTGCTTTCAGGGATATTCCCATCATGCTGTTCTCAGGATGAAATAGGCTTCTAACTTCTACTGCACCATGGCACAAAGCAATAGTTTTGTTTTTCCTTCTTAAGGGTAAAGGGCCTGCTGAAAGACCTGGGAGGAATTAAATTCTGTTCCTCCACACCTACCCACGGGTCTTCCCTAGGCCATACCACTGATCACTGCTGAGGAGCCTGAGGAACCTAATTCAGAACATAAGGTCCTCTGGGTGTATCCTAGAACCTTGCCTCCTCTAGGAAGCAGACAAGCACCAAATCAACCTCATTGGTCCTGAGCTGGAACAATGGGACTGCAGCCTCCTCTCTCCACCCCGAAGAATGACTGCAAGCTGATCGAACCATCCATACTGGAAGCCCCTCCCTGCAGTGTAGTGATCCAGGAAGATGCTACTGGTCCTCAAAGTGGGCAGACTGGACGCTCCTGAGGCCCACCCCAGTCAAGTGGCAGGTCCTGTTTTCTTTGTCCATACAGATGCACAACACAGCTCTACAGACTCTTATCCTAAGGAAAACGATCCACCTACATAGTTATCCCGCGCGGACCAGCCAGGGTACAGCTGCATATGAAGCTGTCGCTCCTTCCGGGCCAGCTCATAGTATTTCGCTTGCTCTTCTCTGGACAGTGCGTGCCACTGGAGGGGATGTGGGGTGCAGACGAGAAAGACATGAACAAACAGAAAAGCATGAAAGAACATCACACACTAAGCCAAGGTCAGGGAATAAATGCTGCTGTTTTTTTGGTTGAGTCTATCCATAAATGGTATAATCTGTACATACTGACTGTTTGCTGGGTCCTGGCACTAACAGGAATATGTAGACAAAACTTGATTTGTTATCTATGTCATTCTGTCATTTACTCACTCTCTCGGGTGGGGGAAGAGTATGGCTGTGGCTGTTCTGAATGCTATCTGAGTGCAGAATAACTAGTCCTGACTCCATGAAGGTCATTCGAGGACTCAGAATGTGGCTGAAGGGCAAGAATTCTCCACAGAAATGGGGACAGAGACATTCTGCCACCTGACCTGCTGCACTCTGGTCCCTCACCACCTGCCCCCCACTTCTCCCTGAGAAGGGCATCACCTACCCTCCGCCCAAGGATCTGGTTGATGGCCGCGCTTTCTTTCAACGTGCACTCAGCTACGACCTTTGCTCTCATTTCCTTCATATACAACATGAATGCATTAAGAGGTTTCTTTATGTGGGGCTTCTTCTTTTCTTCTTCCTTTTTGGAGTCCTGATGCTTTCTGGAGACAGACAAAACAGACACAACCCAATAAACAAGGTAGTGGTCCAACTTCCTCCATGGCAGAGCGCGTATCTCCTTGCCTCCTAACCCCCAAGTCTTGCAGTTTTGGATGAAAACCCATGTTTTTAGTCTTCTCTACCCCGGAAAATGGAATGAAAATAGCTTGGGGAGGGGTTGGGGGAAGGGAGGGATTTTGCAATCACTTCCTCAAGTTTCACAAATACACAATTTTCCCAAGCCAGAAAGGAAAGCACATGGTTGCTGTCTTCACCTCGGCAGGGTTTTCTCCTGCTTGCAGAACAAAGCTCCAAATGTTCAAGTACAGGGTTAGGGGGCAGGGAAGTGGTTGCAAATCCCAGTGTATCCAAGTACACACACAGAAAACAGTTCTGTTCTAACCCGCGGTGGTGCAGTGAGATTCTGCCACTGTGCACTCTCTCTATCTTTGTAAGGGAGGCAGAGCCCACACAGCCTGGGTATTGGCTGAAGTCAAACCAAACGAGGCCAACTTTAGGGAGAAGGCCACCACCCAGTAGCTGCAACAGGCTTGCAGAACACTGCGGCAACGAAGAAGTGAGAAAAACAGCAACACTTACGAGCTATGGAGTGAGCCGACGTCACTCTGGGACGATTCCTGTTTGACTGTTGGTGTGACTATGGCCGGATGCGGAATGCCCGTCGTGTGTAGCGTATGATGTGGTGGGACCATATGGGGAGGGAACCTAGAAGACAGAAAGCTGTGTAAATCGTCAGAATCAAAATGAATGAATGAGGAGGGATGTGTACACACAATTAAAAAGAAAAAAAAAACACAGCACATAACACTCACATGAAAGCAACGCAAGGCATATGAAACCTGTCAGCATTAATTAGCGATAAATTAAACATAATGATTCTCATAATGTCATTAAAGCCAATCTCCCCCTTCATTATTGCTACTGACATAAGACATTATGATTTTTAACATATTTAGCAAAAAACAAATTTAACTGACGTACTTGGGCGGAAAAGTGGGCTTGGACTACCTGCCAGAAATCGCACGTCCACTTATTTTTTGAGGCATTATTAGTGGCATCTAAGACGACAATTTCCTAAGTCCTAATCAGCTCTAAAATGAAAGGTGAAATCTTTTGTTGTATATTGACAGCTAAATAAAATATTAACGTGGTTGAAATATACATACATTTTTGACAATGCTGTGCAAGCCTCATTAGGCCTCATCCTGTTGATGAAGTGCAATACAATTTTTATTTTTCTTTTGCGTTGTGTCCCATCATTTGACAGGAATGGGAGAGAGTGAGGCAGGAAGACAGGGAAAATTCAAATAGTTCCTATTTGGTTCGTATCATAAGTCATGGACATTTTAAATAAGTTTGTATCCCTTTATGGAAAGATGCAAAAAATAAAAGGAAAGGAAAGAACAGGTGCACACACACACACACACAATAAAGCTTTGATTCTGATTTGTATGCCCTTTCTCCTCTAAAATTTAGGATTCCTATATCACTTTTACTTCATATGTTGTCTATGCATCATTAAGAAGTCTCCTAAATGATTATCAAAATTATAAATGAAAGATACAGTTTATTTTCTCTCCTCTCATGCTGCTCATTTTTTGGACAGTTCTCTAAGACACATTTTAGGGCCTTAATTGGCATTTCCCAACCAAGTACATTAGCCAGGACAGAGAGAGCTAATTTCGACCTATTCTTGGCCCATCTGCAAACTGACAACTGGATCAAACACCTTTCTCATTTTCTCTTTTGCATTGTGTCACCATGATTTGTACTGGGTTGGAAGACTCGCCCCTCTTCAAGCAACATATCCTACTATAGAAAAAAGTAGTGAGGGAGAGGGCAGAATCCCGAAAGAAAACAAAATGGCAGCCTCCTGCTCCAACCTGGCAAGGTGATTCAAGGGAGCAGATGGGAAGCTGTTCAGATGAAGATCATGGCAACTGTTGCTTTCTTAATAAGTCCAAACCAAAACAGTCCAACGTACCACCCAAGGAATAATAACCTGCTCTTCACAAAGCCAATTCTGGTGGGAACTAGAGGGCCTGTCTAATGAGGATCTATCACGACAATTCTCTCAAAAGGATTCCGTATTTATTTACAAAGTTTCTTCCAGAAGCAGGCTAGAGATAGTTTCCATTCAGCCAAAATGAGGTAACAAACGTTAATGTGAAAAATAATAAAATGATTAAAGTACTAACTGAATCTACACAGATCAACAGACGAGGGAAAGTTAATGAACAATGCTGATTCTTGAAGAAGGCCTAAGCCACGGTAGACATTTCACTCAAAAATCCCACCCCGATCTGATGTGGCCTCTCCTGCCACTGCCTTTACACATTTAAGCCAGTGGTGCAGACTGTATGACATGACTTTAAAAATGACAACCATAGAGTCCTTTGAATGTATCAAAAAAGTAAGAGAGGGAAGGAAAATGTAAGGAAACAAACAAGCTAACAACCTTCATCCCCTTCCCCTCAAAATAATGTGCAAAACAAAAAAAAAGCAGAGCCCTTGGGAGACATTTGGGCTCCAAGTGACACCCTGTTCCTTCCCACTGCTCGAAGGCCTCAGAGGAAACAGAAGCTAAGAACATGTGTTCTTGGAAACCCTTGGGTGAAGTGGTGGGTGGCAGCTTTTACTGTGAATTTTAAAGGCCTGACATTCCTCAAATACATATGTTCCCTTCGTGCAGACTGAGAATATGTGTACAGACGTGCGAGGGAGAGGGAGGGGGAGACAGAACAAGGCTGTGTGTGTGAGTGTGTATGTGTACGTGTGTGTACATACACCAAATACCACGGGAAGACGCCACAATCTGAGCACATTTTGGGGTGCAAACTTCCAATGCTGCCACGAAGAAGACACATTTCTAAGTTCCCATACCTACACGTATATTCCCGTATCTGAAAAATGTTCAGCACAGAAAGAGACCGGGTATGAACGTGGATGTGGGCTGTATACACATACCTTCGCTTAAGAAATTCCTTTCTGCAGACAACTATTTCATGAAATGCAATAAACACCCTAAAAATTCTAAGCAGCTCATTATATACCCCCGTCTGCTTTCATGGCTCCAAGCCAGAATATAATGATGAACCTTAACTTGTTAAGAACAACTAATTTTTGTTTCTGGCTGTCTCAGGGGCTTCTCTCTTACTCACTCTCACTTTACTTCACTGTTGACACGTTTCTGTTAACCGGATGTCATCTGCCGGCCTTGATTTTATGCACAAGCAGTAGGATGCATTTTCCTGTGCAACAATCCTGCTTTGAGTTGCATTAGGTTTGTCATTATTCTCTCATTTTCCCCCTTGCACTTGTAACATTTCATCTCTTCCTGCCTTATTTTTTGTGAGCCACGGTGCACCCACATTATGGTTTATACATGATCTCGCTCCCTTTGAAGCCGGCAGATTTCAGAGCCGGCTCTCGTCAGGAGAAGAGCCTTGCACCAATTTAGCGGGCTGAGGGCCCGGAGCTCCAACATCTCAATCTAAAGGGGGTCACAGGGTGGCACAAGTGAGTGTCAGCAAGAGCTGTTTAATTGCCAATCTAGGCTTCTCCATGGTGTTTAAAGTATAATGACCCATCACTTAATTCTGAGAAGTCCTGGCCCCACTGCCGAATAGAATGAATATCAAAGGATGTTCTGGAACAGGGCAAGCTGCCTACATTTGCTATAACTGCCATAAGTATAATAGACCTATACTTCTGTCGCCCCATTACCACAATAATGTATTTAATTTGCTGTATACGCTTTTTAACTAGCTAACTTTCATTTGGCCTACCTGGGGAATCGGCCGCCTCTCCCCGCACCTTGAGGCCCTAACCTTTCTTCCTGACGTTCCCTTCCTTTCCTCCACCCCCTGCCCACCTATAAATCATCGACTAACCTCCTAATGATAATTCAATCGATCAGCTTAACCCCAATCCCTATCCTACAATTACTTTACCACTTTTAACCTCCGGAATGCACCAAATAAACAAACATGAAAAAGAACCAGGTGCAATATACAAATGCTGGCAAGGTGGGAAGAGGAGCTGTGGACTATAAGCTGCTACACTAATAGAACTACGTGTAGCCATGGTCCCTGGGTGCTCTCCACCTGGGAGACCCCCTATTCATTCCCATGCTTTGTGAAGCTGTGATGACACTATTTACTAAGTGTATGCTTCCTCTTCTCTCCAGGCCAGAGAACACACGAGCGTTTTCCTGCCTAACTAATACTGGCATGGATTTTGAAATTTTGATGATCTATCGTAGGTAGAAAATGGGTCTTTTCAACTGCAAATATCCATGGCATAGTTACCGATGCTAGATATGCCACAGTTTGTTTTTCTTAATGAATGTAACTCTCTGTCACTGCCAAAATTACTGTTTTGTAAGTAGGAAAAGCAGCATCTTGACCTGTCTTTCCAGGCCCTTCTCTGGTCTTGGCTTGACATGTTGGCCGCAGGGACTGGGGAGAGAAGCTGGGGACAGCATCCCTGCCATGTAATGCATGCTAATTTCATTATGTGCCATCATTAGAATGGGTTGGTGATTTCAGACCATCAGCAAAGTCTAAACCTCCACCGATTTAATTAACTTGACTGAAAATCAGATGAACAGAAAATAAAACTATCATTAGAAACAATTAGCGACTACTTAAACATACTGCTGCCAACCAGTTTGTAAATAAACTAGCAGTCACTGAAAAATTAGCCAGAATTAATCAGAGGGAGGAAAAGAAGAACATGGGGATAGGAGTGTATCTTGTAAATATATTTCTATGCTGAAATATAAATACATATGAACGTACAGCACACACACACATGATTTTTTTTTTAACTTTCAAAGACTTAGAGCTGCACAGACCACTATGATACGCACCAACCACGAGTGGCTATTGAATATTTGAAATGTGGCCAGTCTAAACTGAGAAGTGCTGTGTGTATAAGATACACATCAGATTTTGTACCACAGCTCAGTACAAAAAAGAACATAACATCTTATTAATAGTTGTTGCCCAGGGATAGCATGTTAAAATGATAATATTTTGGCTATATTGCATTGAATAAAAACATGTCATTAAAAATAATTTTATCTTTTTTTAAAAAAAAACCTTTTTTAAAAACGCAGCTACTACGAAATTTAAAATTCCCTCTGTGGCTCACACTATACTTCTAATGGACAGTGCTACCTTTGAGGGGAGGAGGCGGATGCTTGCTTGTTGACTTGGAATCAGAGTCTGAGCTTTGAAAACACCAATAATCTTTATTCGAACTCTTCTTGGTATAATAATAAAACTACCTTCACCGCTACCTTCCTGCCGAGGACAGGACAACAGAGAAATGGCATTTCAAAAAGCTTCGGTCCTGTTTCTCCCTTGCCTTCTTAATTCTTTAAAATACATTGTTCAACTGAGCAACTCAAAAATTTTACCCAGAAACACATCACTTACCTTGGAATTTCAGGGCAATTTTTCAGGATTTTCTGGGAGTACAATCTAATGTCACATTGGCTTTACACTAATAGAACTACATGTAGCCGTGGTCCCTGGGTGGCCTGGTGGCCATCTAGAGAACTTCCTGAGAAGTCACCCGTGGCCTTGGAGGAAGGCCCTGGTTCTTGGAACTCACCTGGACATGGAAGCATTGACAGTCAGAGCTGTGGGGTAGGGGTGTCTGAATCCTCCTGTCGTGATTGGGTACACTGGTTGACCTTGCCTACAAAGAAGGGGTACAAAGTAAGAGACTTGAAACAAGGGTGGGGGTGGGGACAAGAAAAAGAAGAAAAGGGAAAAGTTCTCTCTGCACAGTAAGCTTTATTCTCATTTGATCAGAACAAAAATCTTGGGGATTGTACAGGAAGGATCAAAGGGAAGAAACACAGAACAATTTGAATGCCATAAATCTGATAGGAATGGCTAATTAAATTTTATAACCTCTGCTTATGTCAATAGAGACCCTCTCCCCAAGCTGAAACTAGGTGTTTTGTTGTAATAATTAAAGGCGAAGTCTCGCTTGCTTTAATGGAGCCATCACACTAATTGAGGGCTACACATCCAAAGGAAAACAATAATGAATGTAAATTTATACCAAAATAAAGTACAGTGAATCAAAGGACTTCAGTTGCGCTTTGGGCCTCTTTCGGTATTTAGATCTCGGTGAGAAAACATTAAATTAACAGAGCTTAATTTGTAGCCTTTTGTCAAATTAACAAGTGTTGACAAGAGTTACCGGGGGGAGAGTCCCCAAGAAGAATTGTGGGTAACCAATAGACAATCACACCTCATTACAATAATTAAAAAATACAGCAACATGCAAAATAGCATCCTCATGAAAGACACACAACTTTTTCTGACAGAGGGTTGTCTGAGTTGGCTATTCCTTTTTATCTAGCCTTCAAATATCTCCCCATCAGCTGAATGGGGCAAATGATTACTGAGAACTATTTGAGGGTTGGCCCCATCTATTTAGAAGAAATGGGTCACAAGCTCATGTTCCTGTCTACCCTCCCAATAAAAATAAGGTGAGACAAAGAAACAGAAACTACACCCGGGGTTGGTATTTGGTATAGCTACTACATAATGCAATCTGTTTTTTTTTTTTTAAAAAACAAACAAACCAAAAAAAAAAAAAAAAAATACAGGTAGAATTGTGGGGTAAGCCACTCCAAAATGTTATCTTCCTTAAGGCTTTGTAAGGCCGTCTTCCCTAAGACTCAAACCTGAGTTTTACCAGGATTTATTCCTTTTAGCATTCAATGTATTGTCCTGTGTTGTTCAGATCACTGACAAACAAGGAGAAATATATCCAAAGAAACAATCACGAAACACATATTACACACGTGCTCATGCAAAAACACACATACACACAACCCGCCACAGTATGCTAATGCATCAAAGGCCTTTCTACTCTGAATTTAAAACACAGTTTTTTTAAGTTGCAAAAGACAGTCAAATAATCTGGCACTGCCAGGAACTAGGACTGATGCTTACGAAGGCCCCACATGCTACAGTGACAGTTCCAACTGCCCCATTCCCACTGTTCACAGTCATTCACGTGCAAAGACTCTCAGAGAGACGCTGATTCAGTCCCAAGGAGCTTCTCAACAGACAAAACTTTCCACTGCTGTTGTCAACTTGGGAGTAATGCTCAGCATGAGGTGGGGTGTCCTGGAATCATACGAGAACATGCCCTAATCCCAACCCTGGATTTCAAAACAAGGCAGTTCTTGTTCCCGCTTCTGTGCCCTCAAATATGTAACACCTAAAAGGGAGGACTCGGCAGCCTCAACCCAATGACGTGATTGCAGTTTGGGCAGCCAACAGCAGAACGGCCATGATCAGCTTCATTGGGTGGAAGTCCCAGGAGTCTTCCGGGCACCTCTGTCCACAGAGACTTTGGGGACCATGGTCTCGAAATGCTAAGTGCCAATAACTCTTTTCCTACAGAATCCATCTGAATGGCTATGGATTTGCCTGTATTCCCACAGGACACCCCAGCAACACCTTTCCTGTGCCCTCCCACAGCCCCCTCCCCAACCCTGGCTTCTAACACACACACACACACACACACACACACACGCACAGAATAAATAATAAGCATGCCCGTGTAAGAAACAAAAAGGAAATTAAAAAATGGAACTCCTTACTGTGGTACTAACCATCCTAGCGGATGGGGGATTTGTCCTACGGTGCCAGGCGATAGCGGGTAATACGGGGATATATCTGGAGGGTGCGGAGGCCGTGGGATTCCTGAGGGAAGAAGCAGCATTTTAGGTACAAAGGAGGGAGAGAAGGAAAGAGCAACTCGTTAGGGGATGGGAACAGGGAAAGAGGAGGAAGAGAGGCATCTCTTCTGGAATCCTAACACGAGGTTCATTTGTGATTATAAATCCTAAGAGTTGTTGGTAGGTTTCATCTCATTTTCCCTTAGCCTCAGTTTGAAAAATTAGTTTATCTCCTTCTAAATGGACTGGGATAGTGGGTAGACTCAGATATACGCCATCTTGGGTCTTTCTGCCTCACGTGACTGGTGTGATTGTCTCAAGTTTAAAAGAAACAACCTCAAAAAGGCTCGGCAGCTGGTGGGGAATGAAGCAATGGTAATCCCTGTTGCTCTTACAACACGGGCCCTTCGCCCTGCGGACTCTCATGCCTTACCTGCACGAAAGTTACTCCTCTGATTTCTAACAGACTTTTTGAGCTGTGGCATTCAAAAGGTTACTACCCTTGCTTTTTTTCAAAAATGGTGACTCCTCTAAAATGTCTCCGCCTCTATTTGGATGAGCTGGAGAAACTGATCAAATGCCATGTGGCATCCTATCCAAGGTAGAACCAGAGCTGAACAGACAAGGAGGTGTTGGAGGCTTGTGTACTCCATTCTGGAACTTCATCCGCTAGGGGACAGAGTCACCTGTGGGGATTAAGCCCATCTGCTGAATGGGCACCTTGTGCGTTGCAGGGGCTAAGAGCTTCACAAGGCACACATGAGGGGATTCTGCAAGTACGTGCCACCGCATGCCTGCCAGTTCCACAGGAGCACATTCTGCAGTCGACTCTGACAGAGAAGAACTGATCTGTGCCGCTGAAGTGGGAGGCAAAAGGCACAATACCACAGAATTAAAACAGAGTAAAGGAGGGAACGGACTGCATGTTCGTGGATGAAAACGACTTCATTTTTTAAAAAATTCATTCAGGAAGCTTTTAATCTGTAAATTAAGTCTCCCTGGGTGACATTTTCATGCAGACATTGCTTTCTCTCTATTACAAAAACCAAACAGATTAGCTGGACTTGGACCCTACACCGAGCCATTTGCACACTTGAAAGAATGTTCGCAGAGGAAAAGTAAACAGTCCACAGACGTTAATCATATGTTTTACGATAACCATTTAAAAGCTATTCCCTGTACTACCATTATTTAAATGAGACGTTGACGCTGCCATTCACTGGTGGAGCCTGGGGCCGGCTGGAGGAGGCCGCCAGGCATCCAAGCACCAGGCTCAGTCCTGCACCAGCACAAAGGGGCTCAGAGACCAGTAAAACCCAGCTCATGTGTGGCTTCTTTCAGGGGCAGTGAAGGCCGCCTAACCAGGCAGCCTACCTACCCCAGCACTACCAATCCCCTCTACCTACCCCAGCACTACCAATCCCCTCTAACGAAGTGATGCGTGATCACCGACTTAAACCCATCCTTCCAATTACTGAGCTGGGAAGGGAAACTCCTACCAACATACCGGGTAGCCTGAAAGACACACACTAAGCTTACCTGTTCTCCCAAGACCACCCCACCAGGAGCTGGGGCTGCCTGCCTGATTTAGATCTTGTTGAAGGAGAACTAAAAGTAACCCCACCTTCTCTCCTTCTCCCCTTTGGGAAAAAAGCAGTCAGTGAACGACTGGAATAAAAAGGGGATGCTGGGTTGGGTGTGGTGGCTCATGCCTGTAATCCCAGCACTTTGGGAGGCCGAGGCGGTCAAAAATTCGAGACCAGCCTGGCCAACATGGTGAAACTCTGTCTCTACTAAAAATACAAAAATTAGCTGGGTATGGTGGCACATGCCTGTAGTCCCAGCTACTTGGGAGGCTCAGGCAGGAGAATTGTTTAAAACTGGGAGGCAGAGGTCACAGGGAGCCAAAATCGCTCCACGGCACTCCAGCCTGAATGTCAGAGCAAGACTCTGTTTCAAAACAACAACAACAACAGGGACACTGAAAAGCATGGCAACTTCTCCCAGACACCCACTGGTTGTTCTAAGAAGAAATGAAGCAACCTGCCTGGGCTTTAGTATTCACATCTGTAAAATGGGCTCAGCAATACCTAGAATATTGTAGGGGACAAAGAAGTTAAATAAATTAGCGAAGAAAACGCAGAATCCAGTGATGTGGCTTTTTGAGGCTATACCAACAAGCCATTGTCAAGTAGTGACTGAGGCCTCTTAGCCAGCGAGGGAGCTGAGGTTTGGAAAGTCATGCTGTCACATCTTCCCAGGAAGCTGAGGAGGGACCCAAGAAATGCCTTCAGTATGATTCCTGCATCCAGGTCTGTCTGAGGCTCTTAGAGTTAAAAGCCACTCCTGAAACATACTGAGGACTCAGAGCTGGGTTCCCAAGACAGCCCCTTCAGGGGCACTGGAAGCCATGAAGAGATATTGAACACTGCAAATGAACTTCTCCAAAGGGAGTGGAAAGCCACTCCCACACCAGGCCTCAATCACCCCAAAGAGCTTCCTTTTCAACACCCAGAAAAGCAACAGGGGCCCCCCACCACCGTTCCCACCCAGTCCCCTCCTGCTCCGCCCCTGGGGTTCCTGTGGAGGCCTCAACAGATTCCCCAGAACCCCAGGACCAGCGCTCTCCCTTGGCTCCCAAGCCCATGGCCTACCTGTTTTGGGGTCTACGTCGGCTGGTAAGTGTGGAGGTGGGTTTCCCGGCGTGAAGTGTTCATTGCTGTACGTGATAAGAGGCGTGAGGGGGTGGACATGGTGAGGGTGCTGCACCACTGGCACTTTGTTCGACTGTGGGGAGGAGAACAGAGAAAGACACCATCAAGCCGGTTCCGGCAGCCCAGGTCTTCAGAGCACCGGGCCCGTGGGTTCCCCTGACTGCAGCCTCCCACCTGGATTTTCTAAGATGCACTCAACACTGCCCCTCCCATACTCCCCCGAGTCCGAATAAATAGATAGTTGTAAGACAGCTCTCTGGGTGGGTCTGCTGTAGTTTTTATTTCCCCACTAAGCCTGGCTTTTAAAATACCTTCTCCATCCCTACCCCATTATGGAGCCCAAGAGTCTGCACTTTTCCCGTCCGCAGGTAAGTTGGAAGCGGGGACTTTAATCTCCCATGCCTACTGCGTTTCCGCATGTGGTGGGGACCTCCTACCCCAAGGCCCCACCTCCAGGAGGCAGGCAGGCTGCACAGGGGACCATCTAGGAAAACCACCACTTAAAAGAAACCGACCGGGCCCAAATCCCACCCAGCCAGCCTCCTTAGCCACCGCCCCCCACCCGCCCCCGACAGCTCCTATCCCCTCCCTGCCCTTAGAAACAGCCGGCATGCTACAGTCCTTCTCAGACAGTATGGACGCAAAGCCCCACTCGTGGTTTGGGTGGGAGTGTGAACTTTACCAGAAAGCTCTAAACTGCCTGGCAATCACCTGCATATTCTATGCAGATTACAGCAGCCCTGATTCATTAGGAATTTCATTAGAAAGTCATCCGGGAATGCTAACACATTAACTGGATGATGACGAATTGGGCTAATAAAAGGTACGCATTTTAGAAATGGGCAGTTCTAGAAAACAAAGTACAGGCATTTTTATGTTTGGGAAGGGTGGGTCAGTGGAGAGAAGCAGAGGGCGGGGTGGGGGGAAGAAAAGCATTTAAAAAATGTTTCTAGTTGCCAGACCCAGGCTTTCCCAAATTATTCTCCTCCTCTTTCCCCCACCTCCTGCTCAGTCCACCCCTCCCCACTCCACTACACTGTGCTATAACTTAGCCCAGCAAGATCACAAAGAAAAAATTAAGCTGAAACAAGCGAACTACTGGGCCATTTACGGAGAGTAATCCAATTGCAAAAAACCCTATTCCCCATAGAGGATTTTCACTAAAATCCTACAACAGGGACATTTAACCAGATTAGGTACCAGCGAAGATAAAGAGGCAAGTATTAGATGATGAATGGATTAGAGTCAAGTTTCATTTCAGAACGTGTCTTCATTTCCTTTTATTACTTTTAGGAAGGCACAACTTGCATTAACATCAAGGAAAAGGAATTGCATTAAAAGAAAAGAAGGAAGGTTCTAGTGCTGCCCACTAGCGCCTGTTGAGTTCAGGGATCACTAAGCAGTTAGTTCTCTTTGCTGGTTCTCTTCCTGTCCATTTTTTTTTTTTTTTTTTTTTTTTAATGGGTGAGGAAGGAATGTAATATAGGAACAGCATTTCTTACCACAGGTAATTGAGGGGGAAAGCGTCTTTTAAAAAGTGCTTTTAACTTTTTTGTGGTTATGTGTGGAAAGAAAAATAAGGCCTTCTCTCTAGATGCCCCAGAAAAAAACTGCAGAAAAAGAAGTCAACGCTTCCAACAGCCTGGTTTACCAATTCCTATGTATAACTGGCCTCTTGGAGAAAGGGGAGATCATGTCCAGATGACATGATCTGTTTACAGTAAAGAAGCACAAATCCCACAGCCATCTTCTAAGCAGGACTAAGGGGAGATGTGGGGAAAACCCTCTTTCTCTACTTTACAACAAAAGAGGAAGACAGCATTTGGGCAATAATGGAGTTCACTGAGCATAAGATTTAAAAATTAAGCCTCCACCTTCTTAGATATACATATGAAGGCGATTCCAACAAAAGGTGGGGCCCTGTGTTCTGGCTACCAACACCTCTCCCAGTATTATTTTGCACGCCTGAGCCTAGCCAACTAGTGTTTTTGCTTATAGGAGCTTTGTGTTATATGCTACCATTTTGCAATCAAAGCAAGTAAGTTAAAAGCCACCAAAGCAGAGGGAGCTTTGGAAACCAGAAGCACTTCCACAGAAGGGGCAGCCATGAAGGGCTGGGCAGGCCAGGGCCAGGGTGAAGGGCTGCTACCTCATGGCCAGTGCTGGCACCTCATGGACAGGCACTAAGGATTCCTTAAGAAGAACATTTGCTCAGGACAACTTGAGAAATAAGGAACAAGGAAGCTCCCACACTGTGTGCTGAGGTGGGGAGGGAAAAGAGAAAAGGAGAGGAAAGGAGGGAAAGAGACAGACACGGACAAAGTGGAGACCTTTGGAGGCAAGGCTGTTGCTGCCTTCCAGAAGTTTTCTCTTTGGTTGGAAAGATACATACCCGCTGACATGAAAGAAAGCAGACCAGCTCCAGACAGTTGAAAGTGAGTGTGAAAAAACACCAGGGCCAGTGGGGAGAACCACCCACAGCCCAGAGAAGGGAAGATGATCACTCAGGGGTGGAAGGACTGATCAAGTACCACGGGAGGAGGACCACCATCAGCCATGAGAAGCAGCATATGGGAGAAGAAAGGGCTAGTGGTGGGCATCAGAACCAGCAGCAGTTAGCCCCGAGTCAAGCATCTCCCAGGATGCTTCCCACTCACTCAGATTCCCCAATCCTAGGAAATCTCTCAGTAGGCCCTGATTCATTCACAGTGGGTCTGGACTCAGGACCCAAGCATCTTGGGCCTGCTTCCTGGGTGTTGTGGGTGGTTCCTGTGTTCAGCCATGAGGACCACATGCACACAGGCAAGCACAGAGGTAAAGAGCCATGAGTTCTGATGAGGAATCAAGTCCTAGTTCTTAAGGAACCCAGGAAAAGCCTTAGCACATAACCTAGCACGTAAGTTTGTTATTTATTATCTATTACAGTGGTTTATTAGTAATGTTATTTTTACTGTTAAGAAGACGCTGTCCAGATGACATGATCTGTTTACAGTAAAGAAGCACAAATCCCACAGCCATCTTCTAAGCAGGACTAAGGGGAGATGTGGGGAAAACCTTCTTTCTCTACTTTGCAACAAAAGAGGAAGACAGCATTTGGGCAATAATGGAGTTCACTGAGCATAAGATTTAAAAATTAAGTCTCCATCTTCTTAGATATACATATGAAGGCGATTCCAACAAAAGGTTCTATCCCCCTGTGTTCTGGCTACCAACACCTCTCCCAGTATTATGTTGCACACCTGAGCCTAGCCAACTAGTTTTTTCCTGTTCAGTCAAAACTATATCATGGGGGTGGGGGGGG